GATTTTAAGGCTGTGTCCGCTAACTGACCAAAAATTGGAAAAAGACCAAAGGTGGCTGTTTATGCAAAATCAGCCTTCCGGCGTCCCTTTCGGGAATATTCGGCTATTTTCGACAAAAAGGGCATCACCTTACCTATTTACAATAAAAATAAAATTTTGTTCATTTTGGGCTATTTTCGCAAAAAGAATTTGGATCCGATGGGGGTTGCCTACGTATCCCACACCCTATGGGAATCAAACTGACGTAGTTCGGGCAAACAAAACAAACTATTTTTGAAAACAAGACTCTTCTTTTCATTTTTTCATTGGTAAATAAAACTAACTATTCTTGAAAATAAGATTCTCTTTTTTTTCTCTTTTTCATTTTCCATTGGCAAATAAAACAAACTATTTTTTTTAAAAACAAGACTCTTCTCTTTTTTTCCTTTTCTCTTTTTCCATAAAACAAACTATTTTTGAAAACAAGACTCTTTTTTTTTCTCTTTCATTTTCCACTAGCAAATAAAACAAACTATTTTTGAAAACAAGACTCTTTTTTTCCTTTTTTTCTTTCTTTTTCTATTTTTCTCAAAAATTCGGCAGAGCTTCGACGCTATTTGGACATTGGTTTTTTCCCAAACAGGTAATTATCTCTCTTTAACCCTCATATCGCTATTTACTTTAAAAGTCGGTCAGCATGCGAATCCACAACAAATAAGCGCACAAGGAAGATGCATCAGGATGGTCTATTATTCCGGGTACACCTGTCCTAGACGGACCCAACCCCTGTGTTGAGTCCCCTAAGTCAAAATGCACATGATGCAGATAAGTGTTCTTACTAGGGATCCGGCATGAGGCTGAGTTATTCTAGGTTCAAAAACTGGGTATATGTTCTAGACTGTGTACCCAAGCGGACAACTTGAGTCGAGGAGGGGGCTACGTACCGGGAACCAAAAGGCCATCCGGCTTAGTAACTTGTCCGGCCTCTTTCTTATTTTAAGGTATGACACTAACAGAATAGGGACTCTCGACCAGCGAGCACATCCCCGGAGATGAGAAGAGAAGGGTTCCGTAACAGTTTTATATATACAGTTCAGATAATATCAAAAGCGGTAAAAAGCAACATTTTGCACATTAGTCCCAAACATGTAATAAAATCAGATAATAAATAAAGCCAAATACAACAATATATCTAAGCTCGAATTCTGAACTCTAAACCAGAGATTCTGGGTTCGTTCCCCAGCAGAGTCGCCAGAGCTGTCACACCTTCTTTTTTCACTACACCCCCGGGAGGGGGTATAATAGAGTTTTTTCCAACTTAAAGTGACAATCGAAACGGGATCCTTTTATTAAAAAAATTTAAAGTCGCCACTTGGGACAATTTTATGGTGTCCCAAGTCACCGGTTCAAATCCCGAGTTGAGGAAAAGATTGACTCTGTTTTACAGTCCGCGAACACAGAAATTCGAGTAAGGTATTCTGTTAACACGGGAGAAGGTGTTAGGCATTCCCAGGTTCCGTGGTTCTAGCACGGTCGCTCAACTGTCGTATTCGTCTTAATTATTTGATTTTAAAACAATTATGAACCTATGTGCAAATTTTAACTTTTTAACCGCTTTTATTCACATTTTTTAAGAAAATTGCAACGTCGTTAAAACGCGTCTCGAACCACGTCAATAAATGCACCCGTGATTTTTGACATATTTTAACTTCATTGGGATTTGGATTTGGGTCACATAAATGTGCACCCGAGTTTAGGAAGGTAAAATTATTAAAGACGCGCCTAAAAGCTACTAACGCGTTATTAACTTTGCGAGGGCCATGGAATTTGCTAAATGGCACGCCTCGAATTCTAAGGTTTATTTAAACATTAATTAAACGAGGGCCACGCGATTATGATTTTATTTGGCGCGGCACACCTCGATTCTATTTTAAAGGATACTTAAACTAAAGGTTCGGAGGGCCATAAACTATTCGTTACTTAATATGGCACACCTCTCATCTACATTTAAAGAGACTACCTAATTAAGTAAGAGCAAGCTTTAAAAGGGGTTGTAATTATTCCAAAATAGAAGCCGGATCTGATTCGCCCAGTCAAATAGACAGTTGTTTGAACAAAGCCAAAACTAATTCAAAGCTTGGGCTTGAAACGAGCCCATTCCATGTGAAATGCGAGTAAGCTGGAGCCTCTGAAATCACTGGCAATGACCCTGGCAGGCCAGAATTTTCCTGGGCTCGAAGCCGACCCAGTGTCAACGAAATGGACCCAGATCGAAGGGGAGGAGGTCCAGGATTCATGTTTAAGCAATTACACAGAAGAAATTTATATCTAAAGGGAGATGCATTGACAACTGATTTTAGCTTTGCATACTTCTGGATTTGCATCAAATAATCACAAAAAAAACTTCAAAATACTGAATAAAACTCAACCGCTGAAGCATAAGTCATGAAATCACTTAGCCCCAATTTTAACATTTCTTAGCCACTTAATTGATACTCATGCAAACGAAATATACTGACCTTGAATTAAAACCTGTTCCATTTATATGAAACCAGGATTACCCAAACATGACAAAATCAATTTATTACATCAAATAAACCAAAGAAAAAAATATCAAATAAACCCAACAGTAGAAGGAACAACATCTCATACAGCTCGCATCATATTGCTTAACAGAATTGTATGCAAGATTAATCATTGATTAGGCTAAGCAAATGGTGTCCCAACCCTTTAAATCTGTCCCAAGTTAAGCACAGCAGTAAACTTCAACTATTCAAGCCTAAAGATTCAGTCAGAGCAATACACTATATCAATCCACTTTGGAGAACAGAGTGCTGATATACGTGTAAGTAGATATTAGATGTGACTTAAAAATATTAGTGTCTAGTTCAACAAGCTGGGATTGATTACAACATGCAAATTCTAGCTGATCCATCGGAACTAACTAATCTGCATTGGAGATGAATGGACGGAAAAGTAAACTTCATAGAAATCAACATTTGGCTTTGTTTCACCCTCAATTGAGAGCCACATCATAATAAGATTGGAATTGATACCTGGAGATTGCAACAGGAAAAGAAATAGTGAGGTATCAGCAGCGTAACAGCAGGGATCAACAACAAAACCCAGCTAATTCCAACAACTCAACCAAGAAATCAACTCCATGAAAACCCAAGAATGATTCACCCTCTATCAAAAGTACTTAACACTGATCTCAAACAAAGCTTTTAAAAGACCAAATTCAAACCATTTTCACCTCAAATGAAACGACAAATTTTAACAGATCAATGTATCAAAATCCAGGCAGAATCCTGATGAAAACAGTGATTCTTTGAGTAATTTTTGTACTGTATATTTTTCTAAAATTCTCTATCAATCAGGTCTGCCTTCTAAGGCAAGAAAACAATGCCTTTATAGGCAAGTCTTAGGGCAGCATTCAGAAACTAGTATTTACCCCTTTACCCCCTTTTGAATTTTATTTTTTAGCTAAGTTACCCCTCAACTCCTGCCTTGCTACCCAAGTAAATGTTATCAAAAACCAGAAATTGCAGTTCTCACCCCACCTAGAAGCTTCTAGGGGCTTCTTAATTTGTTACTGCAAGATTCCTTTACTGTAAAATGCCTACACTTCCCCTGACCTTACCCTTAAATTACTAACCTAGGCTAAACTAACCCCAGCCCCTCTTAACCTGGTTAAAGTGACCAAGGTTAACTAATAGGGACCCTAGCATGTTCAGTATTAATCAAACAATATTCAATTGAACTAATCTTTTTTTTTAATCCTGAATTAAACAAATTATTGGCAATTATCAATTAAACAAGGATTTAGGAGAACAAACTAACATTAATCACACACTGAGTCATGTTATCTATGCAAAAAAAAAACACTGAATCGTGAATCGAAATTTTAAAAAAAAATCAAAATATGAACTGAAACTGAATCAAAGAAACTAAAACTTAACGAAAAGAAATCTAAGAAGACTAACGATCAAATACCAAGAGAAGACAGAAATAAAATAAAGAAAAAAATGAGAGAAACAGATTACCAGAACTGGACTAAATCCTGGACAAATTATTTTGAAATTGTTTGACCAAATTAGTGTTTAATCGTGTGTTCTCATAAGAAAACACACGGCTAAACCCTATAATGGCCAAACCCCCAGCCTTGAGAAAATTAGGGTTCCGGGCTAATCTTCGATCTGAAATTCGAGCCATGCGGGGATGATTCCAGGGCTAATGGTTGTGGATTCGGAAAGAGGGGGGTGAGGAGACCACAGGGTGTGTTTTTTGGTTGGGTTTGGAGGCGGCGCCGCCACCGGAGAATTTGTGGCGGCGCTAGGGTTCATAGTTTCAAATCTAGATTCGAGGATTTCCAGGCTTGTTTGATGGAAGATAATGGTGGATTCATGACACTACAACAAAAATGGCCTTTAGTGGCCATTATTTTTCCCTTTAGCGACAATAGAAATAGCCGCAAAAGCCTTTACCGGCAATTAATCATTTGCAGTTGTATCCAGCGTCCCTAAAGGTTTTAGGGGCCATTTTATCAAGTGTTGGTAAAGATACTAATTATTGCCGCTATAAGTTATTACTTTTACCAATATTCATTTACCGACAATTACAATAGCTACTAAAATTGCCTTTGAAATATACTAGCTCATATATCAACGGCCATCGTCATTGTCGGCAGAGACCCATTTATTGCCAATAAAAAAGGATATTTTTAGCGGCAATTACAATAGCGACTAAAACTACTCTTGATATGTAGACACGTGCATTTAAAAATCTTCTTAATGCTGGTAATAATTAGAGGAAGATTTTTTTCGATAATACTAACGCCAGGAAAATGTTATACCTATTTTTCATTCATCTCTTATCAGTAAATAATACTTGACCTTAAAAATTTAATAAAAATGTACACAAGTATATAAAAACAAAACATATTAATACACAATTAAAAAAACATAATGTATTTTATTAAATCCATTACAAAGAAAGACTTCTACTCCATAGTAGTAAAGTGTCAGCCACATTAACGGAAAAATAGATCTTTGAATCTAATGCAATTTAAGTATAACAAGTATCTCTTCAACTCTTGATGGTAATGAAACTCTTCCACATGTTAAAGTTATAAACATCATAGTGTATGACCTGAAATTAAAAAATAAATGTTAACATCATGACTAGGTTACGGCATTCCTTTACCAACAATCAGAAATAATGTATACCGAGCGAAGAACTACAAGTTGTCCGCTACACCAACCATTTAAAAGCTAATATACCACCCTAAGTAGCAATTAAATAAACTTTGAGAGAACAGATTGATCTAGATGTTGTTGTGTCATCAATACACCAATCATTCTAGATAATTAACATAAATACTTTACATGGACATTCAATTGCGCATCTAGAGAAACATAGGAAGATAAACAACTTTACCTGCCAGCAAATTTCTGTTCTTGTTAGACAAATCCACAACTCAGTAGTTTTTTGTATGTGAAATGTATAGTTTCAATCTGCAGTCAAATATTTATTATAAAAGGAGTGAAGTTGAAATACGCTGCAAAAGTGAAATGATATTCATATTAAATACAAATAGAAAAATCACTACTTTTAAGACATAGTGTAAAAAATTAAAGAGTTATTTTGAAACTACAAGTAAATGGGTATACTCACATGCCAGCATCAACTATGTTCGTCCTAACAATTCAATAGCTCTAATCTATTTCTGGACTATTTTTGTACTTCATGCACTTCAACATCTTCTTTTAGTTCATCAGTTTTTCTAATTCAAAGTTAACTAAGATGATGGACCGTGGCGTAAAGACTTGTCAAACACACAAAGTTCCAACTCTTACAGAGACTGCAATTCATTTCATTCTATTAAAGGTGAAAAACCATGATAGGGAATAACAAGCAACACCAAAATTTAAAAACTAACTAATAATAATTATAGTCTCTGAGCGTCTAAGACGATCTTCTATATATTCCACTATCTTCCTACTAGAGATGAAAAAGAAGAAAGAACCAAAAAATACAGCTTCACCGTGTATCTTCCTTCAAAAGAGCATCTTTTAGAGGGAGAATTCTTAGAAATGTCCATCTGCGATGAAGATGCAAGTTTACCAAAAGAATTTTGTAGAGGAACTCTAAAGCTTTTTGTTCTTTAAAAAACTTAATAGATAGAAGTGCATACATCTTTAAGTTTATCACAGCAAAGTGCAAAGTCTTGCTATATTATCAGGCTTCTTCCTTATAAATGTACTTGTTCTTCCAGATCACCGGCAGCTTAAAGTTGTTTTATTTCTTTTAGAATCAAATTTCACATGAGACGTATCTACAAATCACTTGTTCAAATGCAGTAACTTTCAATCAAACACATTAAAAATATTATAAGGATATTAATAATCACGATCCAATGGAAGAATCAATCACATTAACAGTCATGTAAAAAATAAAAAAGTGTACCATAATAGAAATGTAAGAGAGAAACACTTAGACATGTAAAGTATAAAAGTATAAATATCCCCTAGACATGAGCAAGGTCCAATATAAATGCCCAACTTTTCTTCTCATATTGCCTAAGAAAAACCTCATGTATTGCTCAGCATCTCGCTTGGGAAATTATGACTTTGATGCTAACAGAAAGATAACCAAGATGTGAATTTGCAGAGTGAGCAATCATTATTGTGTATCTTGTTCATTACATCAATGAATCCTTAATTTAAGTTAATAGTATTTTTATCATTAGATATTTTTCATGAAGAGGATAAAACTAACATATGAGCTAACAAATTTTGGTCTCTTAGTTTTCACTTGAATGATAAAAAGGGTGTGATTCCTTTACAATGATTGGTGATAATTGTAAAAGAAAAGGATAACTCACCAGTGGATGCATATTTAGTTGATCCTGATAAAATTTTGGTTCAAAGCATGTACACCAACATATCATTGACAGAAAAATCCTTCCATCAATCATAACCACCTTACTGACCTGCCTAGCTGAGGAAGGTTTTCAATTAAAAAAGACCATGTTTGTTAGTAAAGAAAAAAAATTCATTGAAACGCACAGGATTCATCATAACTCAAAAGTTTGAAATATTTCATGGGACAAACTATACTTAAAGTAAAGCATATTTTGGACTGTTCCTAAAGCTTCTCAAATAGAGGCTAGCACCTAGAAAATACAAGATACTAACATTAATGCTAAGCAAGTTTTACCAATCTGTGCAGTACATTCGTCGGTGGTGGAGCAGAGATTGGGCTCTTTTTTTCTCCCCAACATCATATCAAACAATGTCAAATGCAATTTATAAATAAGTCGAAAGAAAATGAGGAAATAAAATCACTACTATTTATGTAAAAAGAAAGAATAGAACAAAAGTGAAGATTGATATTAACCTCAAGAATTTTAAGAAAACAGGAAAAATCTTGTAATTGAACAACCGATGCTTTTGGTTTTATTCATTAGCCTCAAAATAAAAGGTAACATGTCATCAAATTTGGTTATGGACGGAAAAGCGTTGTGCTAAGGGAATTAGGGTTTTGCCTAAAGGTGTCTTTTGAGATGCAGAGAAATTACAAAGAAGAGAATAAATACGAACACTACCCGAAGACAATTGTCATAGCAATAAAACTGGAAGGCCATGTCATTGAGGAATTCTAAGAGATGGCACTGAAACACGAAGGGTCGGCGATGATGGAAGGAATGAGGCAATTCTTAGAACTTAGAATGAAGGGATTTGCAATTTTAAGGAATTTGAGGGAAAGACTCCTTTCAAATTTTTAGTTTTTGCTGGCCATTAACTCTATTTGCCACTAACGAATAATTATTGCTGACCAAAATCTAATTGTCGTTAATACTTGAACTCGGAGAACAAGATTAGCGGCAATAAGTGTATTGCTGTTAAATAATTGCCACTAAAAGCATCTTTTGTTGTAGTGTGACGGGGGGAGCGAGGTGAACTTGTGGTGTGAATTTGGTGGTCATCGGAGACCTGCCGCCGCCGTGGGGCGATTTCCGGCGGCGACAGACGGTGGCGTTACACGGGAGGCTTGGAGACGAGGAAGGGGTAGGGGGGAAGATTTTCGGACACTCTTATATCACAAAGACCCTACTTCATAGCCGTTAGATCTGAAAACCTCGACGGCCAAGATTTGTTCTACCTAAAACGGCGTCGTTTGGGCTTAGGGCTGGGGCGGCAGACCGGGTTGGGACGGGGCTTGGGCTGAGTCAAGGCTATAAACGTTTGGTCCTGAGCAATTAGACAGAGATGACCCAATTTAATGTTAAAACAGACCCAAATTCTTTTCTCTTGTTTTTATTTTTTTTTTCTTTTTCTCTTTTCAATCTTCTTTTTAACTTCTTTAAATATAAATCTAAATTAATTCCTACAACTGAATTAACTAAAACTAAAAAAATTAATTAAACCCAAAATGACAATTAGCGCAATTAACTAAAACAAATTAACGCAAAAACTACTCAAAAATCAAAATTAAAATTAAAAGTGCAAACTACACTATATTTTGTGATTTTTCTATTTTATAAAATAATTGATTACTAAGTAACTCTTAAAATGCAAACTTAACTTCTAAATGCACATGCAACATATATATATATATATTTTTTTGTATTTTTCCACTAATTAAAATGCACACACAAAAATGCGAACAATTAACAGAAAATGCCACGAAAATCCACGAAGTTGCAAATAATAGAAAGAGATTATTTTGTTTTGAAACTGTAGGAGTAATTCATATAGGGCAAAAATCACGTGCTCACAGCTGCCCCTCTTTGCTCGGAAACACGAAGAGTTTTCGTGCAAAGACAATTGAGCGGATACGAGCGATTTTTACCCGTTTGAATACTCCGTGTGAAGCATTTTTGAAAAGTTTGACCGCACCCTGCTTCTGAGGTTGCCTNTATCGTATCGACGAGATGCAAGAAGAAGAAAATTAGCAGACTATGAAAGAAAAAGAATTTCTTCTCATCTACCTTTGTCTGGCGTTAGCGGACCGACTTGACAGGACCTTTTCTCGACCTGCCTTGCTGACAGCTAGGATATTACATATATAGTTGCGGCTAAATATGAATTGAGACGAAAGCTTTATAAAGCCCTTTGTAAAGATCGTAATAAAGTGGGTTTGGCTGCTAATAACTAAGGAGGTCATCCGCTCACCAATTAGGTTGTGTTATATATATATATATATATATATATATATATATATATATATATATATATATATATATATATATATATATATATATATATTTTTCCACTAATTAAAATGCGCACACAAAAATCAAATGGCGCAACCACAAAAAATGCGAACAATTAACAGAAAATGCCACGAAAATCCACGAAGTTGCAAATAATAGAAAAAGAGATTATTTGTTTTGAAACTGTAGGAGTAAATTCATATAAGGGCAAAAATCACGTCTCACAACAACCAACAGAAACTTAAATCCGGAATAAAGACACTTAAGCTATAAACTTGTTCGGCGCGCAACCCGATCCTCAATCTCACTGTTGCGGCGTGCAACCCGATCCATAATCATCACTGTTGCGGCGTGCAACCGATCCATAATCATCACTGTTGCGCGTGCAACCCGATCCACAATATATCATTTATCATTGTTGCGGCGCGCAACCAGATCATATATTTATATTATTAATCCTCACCCAGGCCAACAGTCGAAAATAAGGGGCAAGGGAATAAACAATTAGTGAAAGAAAGCCGGCAAAGGGAACACAATTACACACTAATTCCGGGCAAGGGAAAAAAAGTCAATAAATCAATACCCCGGCAAGGGAGAAAATCATCAATCAATTAAAAACGTCCGGCATATGTATTAATCAATATCTCTTTCCTTTGCTTTCAATTTCTTACTCTATAAACTCACTTTATCATTGAGCCATAGCTCAAAGAATCATTTCATATCATAGACCTTCATAATTCGCCAACACAACTCAAGCCAATGCTCCACGGAGTCTAATAATCATAATCTCTGTCTCATTGCTCTTTCCAGTACATAGAAATCATCAAATAAGCATGGGGAGGACATCACAAACAAGTTCAGGATAATCATTCATATAAGGACACACGGTTATGCTAGACACCAGTGTATAGATACTCGTCACCATGCCTGTGTAACAACTAATTTTTGACCACACTCAAATTTATACTTATTTAGTGTAAATATTTCTTTTAGTTTAATTCTTTAAATATTTATCTTATTCTTAATAGGTTTTATTTAAAAAAAAACTTAAAAAAAAACTCTCATTCTTTAGAGCACAAAGAATCTTTCTTAGTATCATTTACAGTACATGTTCATATATTGTAAAAAATAATGGTTATTTCTTCTTATCTTCATAATTTAATTATCTTTTAAAGTAAAAGACCCAAAAAAAAAAAAAGATTCAAAGTGAACTAAAATCACGTTAAAGTGATGAAGTTTATTTATAAAATTTTATTTAAAAATATGATTTTACTTTAAAAAAAAAAAAAAAAAAAAAAAAACATTTTCCCATATCCCTCACGTTCCCAATTCCCTCACAACTAACCCCATCCTCACGTCCCATATCCCCTCAATCCCACCGATCTCATTACACACACGGATAGGCACTCCAGGCTTTTCAATACAAATAGCACACTTTTAAGAAAGAATCAGGAGATCTTTGAAGAAGAAAAAAAAAAAAACGAGGGGGGGATCTTAGGGAACAAAAAAATAACGTTTGAAAGAAGAAGAAGAAAAAGACTTTGAAAAAGAAAAGAAAAGGCAGTAACAGGCAAGATTTCAAAAGAATTATTTGGTAGTTTTGAGTTCCTTCGTTGTTATAGTTCGTATATTACGTTTTTGCGATATTCACAAGGGAAATTTAAGGTTCGTTTATGTATTTTAAGTCCTACTTTATCTTTTTAATTAAAGGTTTGAATAGTATTGTTAAATGTTTTAATTTTATGTTTGGTTTGTCTTAAGTTATACATGAAATGTCAATACCTTGATATCATGTCTTGGTCAAGACTTGTGGATATAATATTTGGATATGTAATTATTTTATCTCAGTTATTCGTTAAATCGACGGCACTTTTTATCACCATATTTTATTATGTCTATTCGTTTGTGACTTTTTTCTCAAAAGATCATAATTGACTAAGATCAAGGATGACGCTTCTGTTTTCACAAAACTGAGACATTGAATAATTTATTTTTGTTAATTTGTCTAGTCTTAGGAATATGTTAATAATTATGAAAATGTCACTAGTGGAAAGAAGCAGGAAGTAATATGTTTTAATCTTCGCTGGGAGTTGGGAATAAGAATATTTTATTGCTTTTGTTATATTGTCTTCATTCTCGTTTAATTCACAATTCACTAGGACAAGTAAGTCACAATTTATTTTTGTTTTATAATTCAGTGGTAAATCGACCTGAATAAATAATTTAAGCCAATAGGATTTCGTTTTTTTATAACCTTTATCGCTAATTATAGCATCACAATAATCTCAAAGTTAAAAAAAATAATATTTGTAGTTTGCTTTAGGCCGATTATAAATAAATTATCGTGATTTATTAATCTCTCTCT